AAAGAGTTTGTTTTCACATTTCCTAAGCAGTCTCTTTTTTCCCAAGTCATACAATCTGAGAACAGATCCTATACCAGCCAGCAGTCTTCCCTGGAATTGGCATAAAGCAAGTGGAACACCTTCCACTTGTGTCTTGTGAAGAAGTTCGAGGGATTTCCCATCTTCCAGAAACCTGTAAATATGAATGAACCCGGCCATTGCTTTCTTTTTCGGCCAGAACTGCAGTCCTTTTGCTGTACCAACAGCCAACAAAGTACCATACTCCTTATCATGGAAATTCACCGTGCAGACGCTAAATGCAGCTTCGTTATCCTGAAGTTCCAAGAGGCAGGTTGTAGTAGCCGTTTTAGGATCAAGAACCCTTATGCAAGAAACCCATTTTTCCGACTCGGCTTTTGGATAACCATATTGCTCATCGGAAAGCGGATCTTCCTTATCTTCATCATCGGCACCATTCTCCATCTGGTCTGCATTAGCATTACCATTCTCTCCCATTCCAGCAGCCTCGAAACATTCCTTTCTTGCTGCTTCACGTTCTTCTGCGGTGAATGCTCCCTGGTCACTCTCGATGATAACCAACAACTTCCGCTTGGGTTGGAGAACAAACTTTCTCGGTGTGTACCTTAAAGGAATCATGGTTTCGTTAAATGTTTCTCCAAGTCGTTCAATCATAAAAATTCTGAGAGCATCCCCAGCAACAGCAACAACACCTTCAGCACATTGATCAGAAGAAAAGGGAGAAGCAAATTCCAAAGTCTCGTAAGACAGAGGCGTTAACTGGAAGTGTCCCTGATGAATATAACCAAGCCAAGGCCGACTGGACAAACATAGCATTGCAGGGCGACCTCTCACAGCAATAGAGAACAGCTTGGGAGGCTTCAGCCCCAGAAATCGAGAACGGGAATCAGAAAGCTGACCAGTCACCATATCCACCACCGTTCTGAAAAGAACCCCATTCTGCAACCCGGCGTTAAGGAAGAGACTTGCAGGATGATCAGCACCATCCTCGCCACCAACAGATGCCTGAACTTCAAGGAATAGCAAAGATTCTGGAGCTGCAGAGACACTTTGCACACTTAGGATCTGCAGACAGTCGTCGGGATCCAAAGACAAGATACGAACAGTATTGTCATAAGACCCCACGGCAAGGAAACGAGATCTCTGTCTTCCTTCAGGAACCGGGGCAATGTCCAAGCATGCAACATCCCCAGACATCTCATGCTTCTCCACCTCCATCAGCTGACCAGTCATATCTGCCTCAAAATAAATTAGCTCTCCCCCACTCAATGCAATGACCACTTGAACCCTATTGTAGCCAACTTTAACAATTGACCTCTTGCCAGGAGTTCTCCACTCATTTATTCGGCCATCTTCCCTTATGTGGCGAATACCATTAGGATGGACTTGCATGAGGGAATCATCACCAATCAGGGATACAGCAAGGGAGGGGGTAGTATCAAGAAACCCACTATCACTAACTTCTTCGACTGTTTCACCAATTGAGAGCACAAGAGTGGCATTGGCAAAAGAGACAACAATGTATGCATCAAATTCATCATTAACGTTCTTTTTCACTGTCCACACCGCACTGGGGAGACCAGGAAGCTGTGAGACAGCCATCTCACTGATGGCCAATCCAGGCCTTAGAATCCTCAGAGAAGAGCGTGGACCCCGTCCACAAAGTGAAAAGATCTGAGGGGTTTCTTCCTCGAAAAGGTTTATGACTTTCATGTCCATAATTGGCATCATACTCTCAACTTGGTCGATCCTAACAAGGTTCTTAAGTCTTCTAGGTTGAAAAAACACTGGCTGGAAACCCTCTTCAGTCTCCATTAAATTGGATGAGGAAGACTCTACATCAGGTTCCTCCCCTATTGCCTGGAACTGATACAAACCATGATTTCCAAACTCTGAAGCAGCAAAAAGAAAACCAGACTTGAGTACACATATGGAAGCAGCAACGGCAATTGTGTCAAAATATTTTATCTTCAGCTCTGAGACATGATCTCCGTCATGATCCAGAGTGACCTTGAAAATATCACCGTACTCTGTCTGCAACAGAAAGAAAAACATCGACTTTTGCTTATGCGTGGCAGCTGACACTACTAACACCCCTCGCTCAGCTGGCAAATCAGCCCGTCTAGGAATCACTGCTCTCACATCCGATTGACCTTGATTCTTGTATATGACGAAATTCTCGGCGCAAACCAGAACTCCGCTTGGCCCATCCGCTCCTCCAGGCACAGTAACGAGCATATTGGCGCCATTATCAACTGGCTCCGACCATTTCCTAGAGACATGATTGAGCCCCAAATCGAGCTCATAGAAAGTCAAATGCTTCTGAGCCTCACTCGCAGCCTGACCGGTTGGATCCTGATCTGCCTCCGAGTAATCAAGCTCGATAGACGCAAAGATTGGGTTATCGAATCCACAATCCACACCACAGATAGAATAGCATATAGTGTGTGACTTGTGGGCTTCCAAAGGGGAAGAAATGGTTAACCTAGCAGCCGTATCTCTGTTCAAGACATACACAAGCTTCTGCTTTTCACATGCTCCTATCATGACGGCCCTTCCTTTGGGATCAATAGCCAAGTACTGTCCCGGCACGATTCTTCGACAACCGGACTTCCCAAAAGTCTCCTGATGTATTTTGTCGAAAACATTTTTCTCCTTATTGTAATCGAGTATAACGATTCGACCCGAATCAGATCCCACAACGATATAATCCTTCTGCGAACCAGTTAGCCGAAACTGAGCTAGGGATCTAATCGCACCAAATACTTCGACTGAGAGTATTGTCTGGATCTTACCGTTCTCGTCCGGTCGGAGAAGATCGAGAATCTTCCCGCGAGCAACGACAATCTCCTGCGTCTTCCCACCGGAGAAGTTGCCATTTATGGCGCAGAGAATTCCTGTCGCCTGTTGAAGAGTAAGACTGTATAAATACATCCCCCCGAAGCTTTCTCGAACTCAGAAGCTGCAGCACCGGCAAGATTTAGGGTTTAGGGTTTATATCAGATAAAAGAGAGAGAGAGAGATTAAGTAGAGGAATTTTCTGAAGGGTTTTGGATTCAGGTGAATCGGCGACTGTTCTTGGAAAACGAGTGAAGAAGGGAAATGAACTCACCCTAGCGCTCAAGCTCAAGCAGTGTTACCGCCATGGCTCGACCCATGAGAGAGGTGCTCCGGCAAAACCAACGGTCGAGATTCAATCTCAAATGGATTTCCTGATTTGGGCCAAATCTACTAGGCCGAGAATTAACGAAAGAGGCTCACGTGATAATGGATCGGCGGCCCCAAATCTGGATATTGCTATTTTAATTTTATCGTGGACAGCTAAAACTAAATTTAGGATCTTCATATGTTTTAATTTTAATGTCTAATTATTCATATTTTAAAATGTTCAATTTTTTTTATATTTGGTTTAATACGGGAATATTTTAAATATACTAATTTTAAATTTTTATATCTTGATCGATTCTAATTAACAATAAAAAAGAAAAAATAAATTACCTGAGATTTGAACTTTTTATTTCACACTTTGTTCTTTTATTTTAAATATATTCTCATACTACAAAGTTTAAGAGAGAGAGAGAAAAAGAGTGTTGCTTGTATGAGGGATCTCTTCATGCCCTCTATAGTTCTTGCTTGCAAGCTTTCCTGTGTGGCCTCTGTGGTGCGGAAAAGTATAATGTACCAAAAAAATTTTTTGAAAGAAAATCTGTAACCTTAAGTATACCTCTTAACCTTTTCAATGCAATGACTACAACAAAGAACAAGAACCTCTCCCTATACCTGACATTGACAAACGTATTTTTGTATGCACAGATTCCTCAAACACCCTCATCTGCTTTCTTGATGATGCATAACAAAATTGCACAAACCCGGAAAAACAATAGATGAAGATTACCTCCTCTCCTCCCCGTCGAAATGCAGAGGGAAAACGAACCGAATGAAAAGAAAGAATCACACTTTGACCTATACCCTACACACAATGCCGACTAACTCATCCAACAGCTCATCCACTAACATAGTTTCTAACTCCCGAACCACCGGCTCAACATCAGCTTCGAGTTCTAACCACTCATCTATGTCAATGGCTGCCATCTTGTCCGATGATTCCTTCTTGGCTCGCTTATCTTGCATTTCGAGCAGTTTCTGGAGCTCTTCTTTCAGTCCCTGAGTGGTTAGGACAGTTCTGAGCCTCCTAGACACTGATTTCTTCCATCTCGGGGCAGCTATGTATGACTCTAGGATCTCTTTCAAACCTGAATTCACTCTGTCAAGCCAAAGGATTCTATCTGATTTCCTCCAAGATGTATGGTGGGTGTATTTTTTCTCCAGCCTCTCAAAGATCTTAGGGTTGATGGGTAAATCCACTGAATCCCACCGGTTGAAGAATTTCCCGTTTTCGAAACCAGCCTCAGCAAAGACATCGTCGGTGTAAGAAGAATTGTGGTTTTCTTGGACTCCCAAAGATCCGATTGGCTTGGTGTCCTTGTCTTCTTTGACTCCCGAATCAAGAATTGATTCCTCGTCAGATTCATCATCGCTTGATACCACCATCCCAGACCCTTCTGAATAACTTTCAACAGATTCAGATTTCAGGATTTCAAGTTGTTGCTCCAGACCTAATGCGTAATTAAAAAGAAAACCATTAGAGAGCTTGAACCAGAGAGAGTGGGGAAATTTGTTTGAAACAACAGATTAACTTGCTACTTTACCAAGAAAATTGAAATGGGGAAGCTTTTCAAAATTTTCCAACATTTCCCCGTCAAATACTGGCTCCAGAACTGAAACAGGGCTGGGTTGATTACCCTCTTCCAAGCTTGTCTGACATTCTGGATATGTTCCGGAACAATGTAATGGATTACCCTCTTCATCCTGCTGCACAATAAAAGACCAACATAAGCTTCAAAAGTCTAACAAGAAAGGTGCACAAGCTAGAAAAAGAAGGCACACAACATGGTATCTTAATCAGATTACAACAAAAATTCCTTTCCACAGGCTTATATGCATCACATTCAAGCAGGAGTTGCAAGAAAAATGTAATCGTTTAGGTCTTCATTAGTTTCAGGAGAGGTTCATATTGTTAAGTTGAATGAAAATTTGGTTCCCAATGAGCTTATGTTTCCTTTTCATCCTTTGATTAACAGCAAGGACTTTCCATGAATTGGTCTCTATGTCACACATATTCAACATCAACTAGTAAACCATCGATGATAATGGTCTCAAACGTTCAAGAAGTCAACATAAAGAGAACTCATTGAAGTTAGTGGATTTAGAACATTGTTTTATCCAGACACCATATGAATCTTACTCGAGTAGCTCTATATGTGTTGTGGTACTAAACCATCATACAAACAGCAAAGTCCAATTTCAGGATGAGACAATACTAATTTGCAAGATATTATGCACATACTTTAAAAACGCAGTCACTATGAAACATATCACTACAACTTCTAGACAACATTAGTGGAAAAAAAAACATATGGCTGAAAAAATAGTAAAAAAGAAGAGTTATAAGATCATTGAAAAACTTGAGCAGTGGAACAGGGTTCAGAGTAATGAGTTCGACATAGTATACTATTGACAGGATTTCTAGGAGGCACACAAGCTCAAGGAAAAAAGAAGAAAGAAAGCAAGTAAGAAGATATGTGTAAATATGCATATTCATAAAAGGATTATAAACGAGAAGACACATAGATGAAGTCATCAGTTGTCACTAGCAAATCTGCAAAAGCCAACCATAAAGCTGACATTTCGGAATAAACAATAACGTAGAGTGCATGAAAATTTAGCCGAGATACCTTGCTCGTAAAATGTGGAGAAGATGTAAGTCTTAACTTCACATCTGCATCAAGGGTATCACTTCCAACCAAGTCCTTATAGGTGCTAACCATCGAGTTGGAGACAATTTCCCCCGAATATTTCTCCTTTCCCCCTCTGGCTAAGGTACCATCGAAAAGCTTCTTCCTTTCTTTTGCTTTATTTTCAAGCAAAAGGGATTTTTCCATCTTCCTATCACCCAAATGAGAAGCTCTTGGGGCAGTGATAGGAGAGAAGCATCTCAGAGAACTCTCTTTCTTCCTGATTTTTGGTTTTACAGGATTAACCCAGTTGTGATGTTTAGGTTTCAGATTTGACTCCAAGCTTTGCTGACCAGCTCTCATCCCAAAATTTAGGCGGCCTACCATTTCCCGGCGTATGGATGAGCCAGTCAGTTTTGTACTCTTTTCCCGCTTGTGAGGAGGGGTAGCTTGTGCATCAATCACATGTGTGGAGGCGAATAACGTGGGTTTTTGGAGATAAGCACGACACATTTCCTTTGTAGGAGACACAAGAAAACCTGAACTAGACTCTTCGTTCCCCATCGAGACAAAACCCTTTATTTGTTTCTCTTGATCCTGCTTCGATATATACTTCTTGCCCCAGGTACCAATCATAGCAACTTTAGGCTGGTAATTATCAGACAGGAACCGCTGTTTCTTTGCAAGATTCTGCTGAGGTTGTTGTAGTTCATCAAAACCGACTAATCTAGCAATCACACTGGACCTAATTCGTTCAGACTCCATTAACCTCGCAACTTGACTCCACTAACTCAATGTTTTAACACTAGACTAGACAGGAACTAGAGAGTGCCTGCACCGGAGAAAGAAGATAGATTTCGCTTATTTAATGTTTCTTGAGATAGCTCCAACAAAAAGTAAGAACCAAATGAACAGATCAATTCAAAAATCAGGCAGCAAAACAACACGACAGTGACTAATAAGGAGCATGTGTTCCTACATTCTACAGAGTATTCCTCTTATGCAATGGAAGAAATTTCTAACACTAACGATAATTTGATTGGAGATGCTTCTGTCTTGAGGATTAAAGCTTCCAAGTTCAGATTCCAGACAGAGCCAATTGATCAAAAGAACAACTTATACAAGAACCTATTTAATCGACTGGTAAATAAACTATCAAAACCCTAGGAGGAAAGGAAAGTTCTTACTTACTAATAACCTGCAAAGATCATCAGAGAAACAGACCAGAGAAAAACCTAGAGGGAGAAAAAAATGGCCATGAAATCGGAATTCAGACAAGAATTTATCAGACAGTAAACAAAAACACAGGAATCAAAACAGGACCATTTCAACATCACTTTATGTTTTCTCCACGGGGAACAAGAGGAGATCATGAACACAAACGAAATGGAATCCAATCGAAACATCAACATTTTTCTGCAGATGAAACCCAGATTCAGGGAAAAGAAATTAAAAATAACGATACAGATTAAGAAATACCAGAAAAAGATCTTACCCTTTTTCCCCAGTAAGATCTTCATCTAAAAGTTCCCAGATTCCATTCGTAAAATGAAACCCTAACGAAAAACGCGAGAATAGTTTCTATAACAGCGAATTGGCGGTCTTTGAGGTTGACGAGTTGCTTGTAAGATCAAGGAAAACCTAAGCCGACAAATTAAAAAAATGAAAAAAAATTGCATGAAAATTAGGTCAACAAGATAAATAAAGACAAACCTATGTCGCAATCACTTCCAATTTCTTGCAGAAAAAAAAAGATCCACGTCCAACATGGTCGGTTGCAGGATATCTGGGGTTTGGTTTTTTTTTTTTAATTAAAAAAGGTCCAATAATTTCGAATGGGACCCTTGAAAAAATGAAAGTAAACCAAGCTTTACATGCAAGAAAAAGACGTCCATTAATGGAGTTTTTTTATTGCTCAAGCAGGAACAAAATCTTTTATTTTTTTTTTAGGAACAAAATCTTACCAGAGAGAAGGGAAAAAATTTATTTTTCCTGCAATCTCAAATATTTCGCTTTTGGCAAGGAACGCATATCAAATCAATTGGTCCATGATGATGATGTTGGCGGACTGTCCAGGCGGTAATTACATATTTGCCCTTACCGTCTGTTTACATTCACCTTTGGGTCGTGATCGTCTACATGGAACGACGCCCCAAAATGTACCATCGTGTCCCGTGTTTCGCGCTTTAGAATGCTTCTCACATAATTCGCTTTTTATATTATGCCATTCATATAAAAAAAATGATATAAAAAACACGATGAGCACAAATTGGCATGAATAAATATTAATGGCTATCATAGAGATATTTGGTCTTGAACCGATGAAGACTCTGTACCCAAACACAAAGACGAGATAAACGAGAGTTGAGACATGAAACAACTTAAAGACCGAATCCGGATTTGACGGTCGAATAGTTTCGTTCAGTTCTAATAATGGAGAATAACTACAAAACAAAACATTCCAAAACACAACATAGAACCAAATCAAGAATCTCATCCAGACAACATAGGACCAAATCTATATCTGACGGTACCCTTAACTGAGAAAGAGTTGCGACACAGGTTACTTACCTGGTTCCACAAGATCTCTGCCCAGAATTCTGATCCGCCTGATCTGTATGGAAGACTAAGTTGAAACCTTTTTCCCTCTATCTATTAGATCGAAGATAGACAAGAAAACGGTGGTTAAAACATGGCAAGGCCGAGAGATTTCCAATGTTTATTAGGAGCATTGTCCAGGCTCTTCCCCTCCGGCTTCGGCAGCTAAGTCTTCAGCTGTCACCGGCTTGTGCAGCTGTAGCGAACAAATGTTTGAAAGTTAGAGAAAAGAATGCCCCCGAAATCAGATTCAAGACTAATTATGCTTCGTTATTATAATCGAAAACCGTTTTACAGAATGATGTATTACAAGGGGCAAAAGGAGGAAGTTGCAAGCCACTGCCAGTTCACTTCTATTCACTCAGTTTTCCTTTAGAAACAAATTTATACTCACCGTTTTCGAAGCAGTCAACCAGTGAAACGACCGTACGAAGGTATCATCTTTGGATGGAAGACTGTCATGATTCCAATATGTGAGTTTATCAAATGTTGCCTTCATCTCCCAACAGGGGTTTCCTCCCGTTAACCCAGAAGCTTTTCTCTTTCCATGGGGATTTCGGTTACTCTTCTGCCCAAGCACAAATCCTGAAGGAAAACATATTAACCATCTAACTCAAAGAACAATCACGCAAAAGAGTAGACAGAATTAAAAAAGTATGATTCTTCCACAATTCGTGAGATTAGTGTCTGCTTGTGCATAGAAAGAGGAGTCTAGGCAGATGAAATACCATTCAATGGTTCAGTACTGCCACTACAAATCACTCTTTCATTGTGATACTTACAAGAAAACTTTATTCGTGTAACATGATATTATTCCTAAAACACACCACAAGGATCTTTTCTTCTTTTCCCTTTCCAAACACTACCATGCAATCATAACTCCATCTACACAAGTGCACTTCTTTTTTGCTCATGAGCACAATCTTCAACAACCCAGAACTAGTTCTTAACTAATGAACCAATTAGCCAGGGATTAGTTCATAGGCATCCTCAAGGACATTTTGCCTACATAGATCCAATTGTCTCTAGAAGAGGAAGAGAAAAATACCAGAATAACCATGAGGAAGTGAGATTGTTGCTCCCTGCAACTTCTTTCCTCTGAAATGAGCTTCTTCAACTTTTAGTCCATCAATTTCAGCCCCTGAACTCACAGGCATTTCAGCACTAATCTCATATATACATTCAGATATACAAACAAACACGCAAACACTGATTCGAACATAAACATTTACATAAATGACAGACCAAAGTTTTCAAAATTACCCATGCATTTGGGCTTGAAGTAGTGAGAAACTTCAGTAGGACCATCATATCTAATGCAGCAAGGTAGTCTGTGGACATGACAGCCGAGATCCGCCGCAGAGTTGTCATCCTTACTCCTTAGATCTATGGTTCCCATCAAGTCACTCTGTCCCCCGACACGATTAAACCTTAATTTCCGCCACACTATTAAGCACACCAACATTTAAAAGACTTTTAAGCTCTTCTTACATTATGCAAAGACAACATTAAAAAAGAAATACTAATTGGTAGAGAGCAAAGGATTTCTCTTCCTTAAAGCAACCAAAAAGCATGTCAATGGGGAAAGATCAAATATAAAGATGTAAACAATTCTAGGGAAAAAAAAAGGCAGACCCATATAGAAATACCAAACACGCAACACAATTCGATATGACTATCTGAAATAGACAAATTGGCTACGTCCTGACATCTTTGATCATCCATGATATGAGCGGAGATTCCAAGCAGCTCAAATATGGTTTTCTTGCCAAGTGAACAGACCAATTCAAAAATCAGGCAGCAAAACAACACGGCAGCGACTAATATAAGGAACATATCTTCCTACATTCTACAGAGTATTTCTCTTACGCAATGGAAGAAATTTCTAACACCAACGATAATTTCATTGGAGATACTTCTGTCTTGTGGATTAAAGATTCCAAGTTCAGATTCCAGGCAGATCCATTTGATCAAACGAACAACTTATACAAGAACCTATTTAATCGACTGGTAAATAAACAATCAAAACCCTAGGAGGAAAGGAAAGTTACTACTATTAACCAGCAAATATCATCAAAGAACAGACCAGAGAAAAGCCTAGAGGGAGAAAAAATGGACATGAAATCGGGATTCAGACAAGAATCAGACAGCAAACAAACTCACAGAAAGCAAAACAGGACCATTGCAACATCCCTTCATATTCTGTCCACGGCGAACAAGAGGAGATCATGAACATAAACGAAATGGAATCCAATCGAAACATCAAAATTTTTCTGCAGATGAAACCCAGATTCAGGGAAAAGAAATAAGAAATAAAAAAAACGATACGAATTAACAAATACCAGAATAAGATTTGACCCTTTTTCCTCAATAAGATCTTCATCTAAAAGTTCCCAGATTCCATTCGGAAATGAAACCCTAACGAAAAACGCGAGCAGGATCGAGTTCAAGAGCCACGAAAACCCTAACCCTACACCCACAGGAGTGGAAAAGGCAAGTTAGAGAAACCATCACCTTTTCTCAATTCGAGTGAGAGAGAAGCTTCATCTAGAGAGAGGCAAGAGACACACCGTCCGTACAGAATCCGGCGCGAATTTGGGCGGCAATGTCCGCACAGTTCCCGGAAGCGAATTTGGTTAGCAATAAAAAAGGCCGACTAAATCAGGCCCAATAAAATGGCCCATTGTCATAAAACATTTACTTTTTCCGATCCATTACGAAACTATAACAGCCCACTAAAAAACAATGACGCCCGCATCAAAACCCATCCCAAATTATTTTTTGTTCAGTCATTTTCTCGTTTTTTTTTTTGAATTTTTTTTTTTTCAGAAAAATCCAAAAAAAACACTGAACTTTACAATTTTAACAAAAAAAATATTGAACTTTTACAATTCTAGGGAAAAAAAAAGGCAGACCCATATAGAAATACCAAACACGCAACACAATTCGATATGACTATCTGAAATAGACAAATTGGCTACGTCCTGACATCTTTGATCATCCATGATATGAGCGGAGATTCCAAGCAGCTCAAATATGGTTTTCTTGCCAAGTGAACAGACCAATTCAAAAATCAGGCAGCAAAACAACACGGCAGCGACTAATATAAGGAACATATCTTCCTACATTCTACAGAGTATTTCTCTTACGCAATGGAAGAAATTTCTAACACCAACGATAATTTCATTGGAGATACTTCTGTCTTGTGGATTAAAGATTCCAAGTTCAGATTCCAGGCAGATCCATTTGATCAAACGAACAACTTATACAAGAACCTATTTAATCGACTGGTAAATAAACAATCAAAACCCTAGGAGGAAAGGAAAGTTACTACTATTAACCAGCAAATATCATCAAAGAACAGACCAGAGAAAAGCCTAGAGGGAGAAAAAATGGACATGAAATCGGGATTCAGACAAGAATCAGACAGCAAACAAACTCACAGAAAGCAAAACAGGACCATTGCAACATCCCTTCATATTCTGTCCACGGCGAACAAGAGGAGATCATGAACATAAACGAAATGGAATCCAATCGAAACATCAAAATTTTTCTGCAGATGAAACCCAGATTCAGGGAAAAGAAATAAGAAATAAAAAAAACGATACGAATTAACAAATACCAGAATAAGATTTGACCCTTTTTCCTCAATAAGATCTTCATCTAAAAGTTCCCAGATTCCATTCGGAAATGAAACCCTAACGAAAAACGCGAGCAGGATCGAGTTCAAGAGCCACGAAAACCCTAACCCTACACCCACAGGAGTGGAAAAGGCAAGTTAGAGAAACCATCACCTTTTCTCAATTCGAGTGAGAGAGAAGCTTCATCTAGAGAGAGGCAAGAGACACACCGTCCGTACAGAATCCGGCGCGAATTTGGGCGGCAATGTCCGCACAGTTCCCGGAAGCGAATTTGGTTAGCAATAAAAAAGGCCGACTAAATCAGGCCCAATAAAATGGCCCATTGTCATAAAACATTTACTTTTTCCGATCCATTACGAAACTATAACAGCCCACTAAAAAACAATGACGCCCGCATCAAAACCCATCCCAAATTATTTTTTGTTCAGTCATTTTCTCGTTTTTTTTTTTGAATTTTTTTTTTTTCAGAAAAATCCAAAAAAAACACTGAACTTTACAATTTTAACAAAAAAAATATTGAACTTTTTATTTTATCAAATAAACATTAAATTTTTTAAGTTTGACAAAATAAACACTTAACTCTTCTATAATTGTCAAAATATATAATTGTCAAAATAAACAAAATGAATGACGTGGCCCAATAAAATGCAAACACGTCAGATTATTTTGCTTAGTTTTTTTTTACAACCGAAAAAAGTTCATGTATTTTTTTGGATCACTAAAAAAGTTCAGTGTTTTTTTTATAATCGTAGAAAAGTTTATGTATTTTTTGGATCATTTATAAAGTTCAGTGTTTTTTTAAATTCGTTTAAAAAGTTTAATGTTTATTTGACAAAAAATAAAATTCAGTGTTTTTTTTGTCAAAATTGTAAAGTTCAATATTTTTTTTGGGATTTTCCCTATTTTTACAGAAATACGTGTCACATTTATTTTTGAATTTTTTATCTAACATTTTGTGGATTAAAAATTGTACCACTAAAATAAAGATATCAAAATATTAAATACTACAAAAATGGACAAAATATTTGGTATGCACAGAAAGTGTGTAAATATAAATTATTGTTTCATCTCTTTTTTTTCTTGTTTTACAATGAAAATAATTTTCATATATATATATATATATATATAAATTAACAAATAAAAAAAAATATAAGTAAAATAAAAATAAATAAGTTACACAATATTGGTTCATTATTATTTTCAATCATATATCAAAATCTATATATTTCCTCCAATCATATATTCATTTTTCTATTTTAACATTTTTCTCAAGATTAACTTTGAAAAAATACAAAAGTTAATCTTGAAAAGATAATATGATAAAAAACCCATAGATATTTTCATTGTTGTTTTATAAAATTTATTCAGATTACTTTCTCTTTACTCTTTAGTAACATATCTTTTTAAGTCTACACGTGTCTTTCACTTCATACGTTTTAATTCATTAAGGATATACACGTATTTTCCTCGTTTGTGAATATTAAACTTGACATTTGCTAAATCGTTATAATTTTTTGGTGTACCGCTGAAAAACATGCGACTCAACTGGTGTATTTGAGTAAATTTCTTTTCTTCCGTCGTTTTGCTTTGTCTGTAAACCAGAGGAATCAACTGTTGTTTATCTTCTAAGAAATTTCTCCTGTTTTGGCCGAGTAGAAAACCACTCAGAAACCTCTCAGATTCAATTGCAATAGGAGGGGAAAAAAGAGAGGAGATGAACAAAGAGGAGAAGAAGAGAGTACCTTCCGAAGGATTTGAACACCTATGGCGAAATTGAAGAGCAGTATAAGCAGGGAGCACTCCCACATTTACAAATTTCACCTTTTCGAGGACTTATTAATTCGATCAGGAAGAACTCTCATGGTCTCTTCTTCCTCCTGGTTTTGAATTTGTCGTGAAGGTAAAGATATGACTCTTTTGGTTTTAGGTGTGTGTATATATACTCTGCCGAGAATTTGAATTCGTTTGGAGGACAAGTCCCGTAATATCATTCTTCAAGGTAGGATACGTATAACAGTCAATACACCTCAATTTGCACTTTCATCAACAGACGCTCTCGACTGTCTAAACCCCCCTCAACAGGCCGTTAATTTTGACTAAAAAGGTCTACATCTCAAGTGATAATGTAACAACTATATTGTTGTTTTAATTTTATTGTGGACAACTAAAACTAAATTTAGATTAGTAATTTTCATGAAAACTACAAAAGAAAATCTCATATTTAATTTTAGTATCTAATTATTCATATTTTAAAATATCCAATTCTTTATACTTATTTTGATATGGGGATATTTTAAAATTTTTAATTATGAATTTTTATATCAAAATATATTATTTTGATCAATTCTAATTAACAATAGCAAAAAAATAAATTAACTCGTTTGGTCTCCTATAGTTAGGGGTGGGCAAAATATCCGAAAAATCTGAACCGATCCGTTATTCGATTCATATCCGAACCGAAAATTTGGATATCCGGAGTTTACGGATCGGATACGGATACTTATTTGGAGATATTTATCGGATACGGATCGGATACGGATATTAAATTTGAATTATTCGACATATCCGATCCGATCCGTATTTTGTAATAATATTATTAAATATAAGAATAATTTGGTATGAAGATTTAAAATTCTTAATATTTACATGTTTTTTTAGGGTGATTCAAGAAAAATTTTATATATATTGAGGTTTATAATTTTAATTTTTGAATATTAAGATTTATTATGTTTAATGTTTTGAATTTTGAATATATTTGTATGTAATAGATTATAATTGTATTTGTATTTGAGTTGATTTGGAATGTTTAAATTATGAATTTTAAATTTGTGAATATTATTTATCTTAAATAGATTATATATTTTATTTACGTTTGAATTTTTTATTTAATTTAAATTTAAAATTTTATAATACTTTAGGTCGGATACGGATATCCGCAAATATCCGTGATTTTAACGAATATCCGAATTTGCGGATATCCGAAAATTACGGATCGGATACATATTTGTGCGGATCGGATACGGATACGGATATCTCAAAAATCCCGGATATCCGATCCGTGTCCACCCCTACCTATAGTCCATTAGTTTATTCTATTGTATTTATCATGACATTTAAAAGCTTTGAACTTTTTATCTCACATTTTGTGGATTAAATATTGTAGTGAGAGAGAGGCTTAATCGAGAGAGAGAGACTTCCTCCGGCAAGAGACACGCCGTCCGTAAGAATCCGACGTGAACTTGGGCGGCAATGTCCGCACAGTACCCGTCGCTGTGGAAGCGAATTTGGTCAGCAATCAAAACCTTGAATCTCCTGCTTTCCGCTAGATGATTAAGGTGGAGGATTATTTGGATGGAAGAGGAACATTATTTTATATTTAGTATTTTGGAGGAGATTAGAAAAATGAAAGAACTTGAAAGAAAATATTTTTCTTAATTTCTTTGTTTTTCTCTTTAAATTTGTTTGGTTTCAAATTCTATACAAATCATATATTTATATTACAAATCTACACCTAACAACTACCTATCTAACTCACATGTGAAACATATTTTTACCTAAATTTTTCACACATATTTTAAACATTTATAATTAACTAATCAAACTACAATTTCATCACATTTTCATACATCTTATATATATATTATCACATTTTCACACACTTTTCATATTAATACCGATATATTACATTCGAATGATTTTGAATATGTAAGATAAAATTTTTCTCCATCCCATTTGAGAACTAGCCAATATTCGATGGAATATTTATCGACTCAGGAGCAAATTATCAGTTCGACTGTATATATCTCGGGTTCGAAACCAGTAGTTACATTTAGATTTCAAATCGGTTTAATCCCGGTTTAGACAAGACCGGACAAGACAAAAGCGACACAGCTCAAAGTTGGGATCTTGGCCCGTGATCAACATTACCAGCATGATCATCTGTGTCAGAAGAAACCCTAGACTCTGTCGTTCTTTCTTCTAGCCACTGAATTATATCGTTGAACACGATCTGAGAATTCTCCGGAGGCTCTCCAAACAGAAGACTGTGCCACATTCCAGGGTAAAGCTTCAACGTCTTGTCTTTTGACGAGGCAACGTTGTAAAGCTCCTTGCTTGCTTCTTTGTCTGTCACCTTGTCCTCTTCCCCATGCAACACTATAAACGACATTGTCACCTAATCAATCAAAAAACCACGAATATATCGTCAAAAAAACAACGTACGAGGCCATTCATGACGGAGTATTCGAAGACCGGACCCAAAGTTTCGGCCCTTGAAACTAATCAGAACGAATAGAATTGGCTACATATAACCTCGTTCAACCGGTGTTCGAGATCGATGCTGACTCTGTAAAGCTCACTCATGGTTTTATAGCGAGGCCGCCCTTTGTAGCAACGCGGATTTTCTTGAATCTGTGTTCCATTCAACCCGTGAGAGGGAATGTAATTCTTTTGAATGTTTAAATTAACTGATCAAACCATATGTTATATCGTCGAAACAATCAAGAAAACATAGTACCGATTTTCTGGCTTCGGGCTGTTTGAAGGCGACCTCGATGATATCGTTGGAGATTACAGACTTCCAAGTTGGGATCACTTTGGTTATCATTTGCATCATAGATATCACTATCTTAGGCGGCTTCACATCTTCAGCGATCTGTTACACATTGTGTATATACATACCTTACACATGATTGAATGTTCCATATGCATACATACATACCTTACACATGGGAGCTAAAAGGATCGCTCCGTCCCAAAACTCGGGATTCTTGCGGTGCAAGAGGAGCGCCACCGCTCCTCCCATCGACTCTCCCATCAGAAACTTCTTTTTCTTCGGATTCTCTCCCATCTCTTCCCCCCACAAAACAAAAACAAAAAACAACGTTTTGTACTTTCTTGATATTGTCTCCAAAGAGTTCTTCCGTACACAACAGATATTGATCTGTACAATGAATGAACAATCAAATAACAAAGAGAGAGAGAGAGAGAGAGAGAGAGAGATTAACCAGATATTTTTGAGAAATGCGAGTAGACATCATCGATTAGGACATCGAAGTCATTGATGTAGGCAGAGAGACCATCTGATCTTCCGTGCCCTTCGTACTCTATTCCGTACACCGCAAACCCATCATTCCCAAACTTGGTCGCTATATCTGTTATTACAAGGCCACGCAGATTCGTGTTATATGAAATATACAAAACCTCATCGTTATGTATCGATCTCTACATATATATATTGGATCGCAAAATTCGCGATATACCGTTCAAAATGTTGCCGCATTCCACGGCATAGCCATGGCAATAGAAGATCATAGCTCTCGGTTCTTGATTTACGGGAAACCATTTACAAGTGAAGAGTTTCATCCCCCGGGAATTCACAATGAAATCCTGCTCCAACAAACTTGTAATTAATGATCACAAACTGTTTCATAAGATTATCCGAGTTTTAAAAATCGAACAAATGAATATCAAAGTTACCTCGCTATACCCCACTTGCCCTTCAATACGAGCCTGCATCCATCGATGATGAAAAAAAAAAAAGACAATAAAATCGTAGCTTCTTATGTATACATAAGGAATGAGAATACCACATAGAAAAAGGACGAACCATTCGATCTTCGGGGGCTCGATCGATTCACGGAAATTCTCGATAGTTTTAACTCATTCACCGACGAAACTTATTAGTAAAACACACTGGAAAATATCTGGGCATGTAAAATTTGGTCATTTATCTGTTTCTTGCTGAAGAAGAAATGTTTTTACAGCCCGAACAAGGTTGAAAATGGCCAAAAACATCACCTAAAAATAACTCTATAGTTTACTATAATTAGGATAACAAAACTGATTTCCTAGATCCAAGTGTTCGGTACTTTTCAACTGATTGAAATGGCACCATATTATTACAAATGACGGTCCAAACCAAATTACAAGAACACAAGGATTTCATTGCTTTTATTACGTTGTTCAACTAGTGTTCAAGAAACTTCCACATCTAAAAGAGGCTTTATCGTTTAACCAACCGTGTCGGAAAACACGATCCCATTCTGTAAAAAAGTTACTGAAAATAATCTAACAAAAACAAATTAAAATTTTATCGTATACGGTTCTATCCGGATAAGATTCAATTGAACTTCTATTATATTTTGGTTTTTTATCAATTAACGTATGCGGGGGTCCCGTAAAACGACGCCGTTTAGGTCAAACGTTTGACATAGTCAGTAACGGATTCCGTTGAAGTTTTCTGGTCTTTCGATGATGGTCAAACATTTTTATATTCTCGAGAAATATTAGTTTGAATTTTATATAATGATATTCCCTAACAAATACAGCGAATCTTCTACGTAAGAATTAATTAAAGAAGCGAACTTTTATAATCATAACGATATATTTATATGGGTAATCACGCTTATTTTAAATTTAATGCTTCAAAATTACGCCAAGTATATATCGATTGGTCAACACATCCAAGAATAATGTATTTTTTTTTTATAATCATATGATTATGATCAATGAAATATTGGTATCGATGATGAATAAAGGCGCATATAATTTTGTTACCAAAAACATTTTTTTGTGAGCTACAACATATTTTTCATTCGTTATCTATATTATTAATAAATTATTGATTTAAAATTTTAAATATACCAGACCAAATTTCGAGAAAGTTTTCTTTTTTCGATTTTAAGAGCAAGAAAATCATTTTTTTGTGATCTAATTAACGAGATTGAATCTCAAGTATTGGATCAAGTTATTTATGGTACATCACAAACACACGCAAACATATAAAGCCGTCACTTATGTTTCAGCAAAGCATCGTGATTAAGCTTAAGCTCACTCTCTAACCTCCCATTAACTCTATCGTCCAACCAACGTATAATATCACCAAACACGATCTCGGTATTTTCAGGCGGCTCTCCGTACAAAAGACCGTGCCACATCTTCTCGTACAGCTTGAACGTCTTGTCCGAACTCGAAGCCACGTCGTACAGTAGCTTGCTTATGCTTTTATCCGTCACTTTATCATCTTCCCCATGAAGAACTATAAACGGCATCGATATCTGATTTATAAAATATAAAAAACCCATCATCACACATTAGTCCAAACACTTTTATCGAAATTCTCCAAATAAAATCATATCTATATCGATATGTTCGTTATTTATTAGAGATTATAACTAATATCCGAAATGGCGAACCTCTTGGAGATTCTTCTCGAGATCCAAACTGACCCTCAAAAGCTCGTGGGCGGTTTTCAAGCGAGGCTTGCCCTTGTAGCAATACTTATTCTCCCTTACCTGTAATTTGTAATTTAATCAAACCCAAATCCATTAGCAAGTAATTAAGGAAATTAATCCGGATTTTTTACTACTAATAATGATATACACAAATTAAAGTACGCACGTACGTACCTGTTGTCTCACTTTGGGCTCTTTAAAAGCCACGTCAATTATATCGTTGCCGGGAACTATTTTCCACGTTGGAATCAAACGAGATAGTTTCGTGAGAACGGAGATAACGACAGGATGTGGCTTCATCTCATCTGCTATCTGTACGGCAAAACGACAACATTAAATATCAAAATATCTATAAATATCTTTTAATTTATTGGATTTATCCGCGCTACAGATATTTATACGTAACAAACACATAATTCTTTTGACTTTTCGTTTCTATTCAAAGTCTACTATATGATCGAATATATGTAAGACTGATTGGCGGCTATATCATAATGCAGAAAATAGCATATTGATACCATCCGTGGAAATTATTGAATTTTATTTACTGATTTCACACACACACACATATATATATATATATATATATATATATATTGTAACAAACTAATAATTATTGCGAATTATTAATATGGGTGTAAACGGAGGGCACGTACCTTACACATGGGTGCGACCAAGACGGCACCATCCCAAAAATCAGGCCTCTTTCTATGCAGAAGCAACACCACTGCTCCCCCCATGGACTCTCCCAATAGATACCTCATTTTCCCCTTGTTCTCTTCCTTCTCTGAATAATTCAAAATCATACAAATTTTATGAAATTAAAATTAATATACGGGTCTTGTTATATCAGCCATATATATATATATATATATATAAAAATGATATATATATGTAGGATACCACATATGGCAGAGTAATGAGCAGAGACATCATCCACAAGATCATCGAAGTTTTTTATGTAAGCAGAGAGTCCTTCGGATTTTCCATGGCTTTCGTAATCTATCCCGTATACCGCAAATCCCGCCTTCGCAAGCCTAGTCGCAGTGCCTGAACGAGCGATGTTCCATCCGATTGAGCATTATTATATATTTATGATGATCACTGTAATTAGTCAGTACTATATATATGACGGAGATGGTGATGGTGATGATGATGATGATGGGACTGAACTGTTCATGGTGATGCTACACTCCATGGCATAGCCATGGCAGATGAAGAGCAAGGCTTTCGGTTCTCTGTTCAATGGTCTCCATGCACACGTGAAGAGCTTCATTCCTCGCGAGTTGAGAACAAAGTCCTGCATGGAATTAGTAACTATCTCGTTTAGTTTAAGAAAACAACTTTCTTGTAACAAATCAGTGAAACCTAATTATTAAGAAACAAAACGCGTCGATCGATAAGTATATGTACTGTACACACACACATATATATATATATATATATTATTACCTCTTGATACACAACGTCATCTGTTTGTTGCCGCTCCTAAAGAGAGACGATCATGAAACCAAAGTGAACAAACAAATCAAATTCAGAGAAATGATTTAAGAAGATGAAAACATAAAAGCGAAAGACAGAGACTGAAATTAAGACAGAACACACTAACCATATCGTAATTTCTTCTTTGTTCTCTCTTTGGAATCTCTCTATATGAGTCTCTGGGCAAAAGAACTGAATCGGATATTTTATATATATATAGAGAGAGAGAGGTGTTGGAGTCACAGATAAGAAAGGAAAAAGGATGTGGGAAAATAAAATAAAAAAAATTCAAAACGAAAAAGATAATAATTTCCTTATTTGTAGAACAGGAAGGCCCAGTGGGTATGCTATATACACGTGCGTGTGTATATGTATATATATATCATATATTGTTGAAGAGGGGAGATTGAAAGATCGCGGAAAAGTCGCGTCCGGAACAGCGGGGGCTACTCGGCCCGCGTTTTGAAGTAACCGTAAAGCCCTGGGATGACGTCAGCAGAAACACGACTGTTCAAATTTGGAGCTCTATTCAATGCCTTCGCCTTTCGTTGACCCCACGGAAACGGGGACTTGCACGAGGGGTCCTTGTCCACATACGACGTATGTGCCGATATTTTCACAACAAGGTCCAACTCTTATGTATTTTTCCATTTTTTAGCCACTCACTTTTTTGAAAGTTTTGTTTTCTCACACAAACTCTTAAAATTAAATTTTGGTACCTATTTGTTTGTAAAATTATCAAAATGCACCCGTTTGGATGATAGTAGTAATAACTCGAAAGGATTTTTTTTTTTAATTTTTCTGTATAAAAAATAGTTAAAACGGTGTTTTAATTGTCAATCTTTTAAACTATTGTTTTATTAAAAGCTAATCTCTTAGCTGTATATGATAGAAGTTGTTATATGATGGCTATCTCATGACATCATCCGCCATAGACTAGTTTCGATAAAAAGAAAATTATATATATATATATATACACAATATTGGTGTTCTATATATTTAATATTGGTGTTCCCTTGACCAGGCAAAGACGTCATTTTAGAATATTTCTGTCCTCTGCTAAAACATTTAAAAGTTTTTAAAACAACAATTATTCAAGTCTACAGAAACTAATTTTAACATAAACCAGTACAATTTAAAAAATTAAATCAAAGGAGAAATAAATTTAGAAGTTGATAACTCTTGGTAAATTCATGAAATAAACGAATAAAATTCTACAATAAATTATCCAACTTATTTTTCTTCAAGCTCTCAACTAGAAATCAAGAAATCATAAAAAGGCCGACTGAATGAGGCCCAATAAAATGGCCCATTATCATAAAAAGATTTTTTGTTCTGATCCATTAATAAACTATATACCAGCCCACTAAAAACAATGGCGCACGCATCAAAACCTAGCCCGAGTTACATAAACCATAACTCGTCTTCAACCTTTTTTTTCTAGGGTTTCTTACCACAGAGACAGTACGAGGCGCCCTTGATAGAAGACTCGAAAGAGCTGCCATGGGTAAGCTTATTTCAGAAGCTTCCGAGGAAACTGAGAAGCATTAACGTTTCATGTTATCCTTTTTCTCTCTGTCTCGCTTATGAGATTGTTTCCGCTCAATTTTTTTTTATAATTTATTTTCGCGTTTTTGCGCTTTGATGGGTTTCGTGGAATGGGATTGGAGCAGCGAGAATCAAGGTTCACGAGCTTAGGGAGAAATCGAAAGCCGATCTCTCGAGTCAGCTGAAGGATCTGAAGGCGGAGCTTGCCCTCCTCCGCGTCGCTAAGGTTACAGGCGGTGCTCCAAACAAGCTATCCAAGATGTATGTACTCCAATCTCGTATAATGATTGTTCATATACATACGTACATACATATTTTTTGTTTCTGGTTAACGTATCAAGCTTACGAATTCGGAATATTTGGCTCCTGTTGAAGTAGCTTAGTCAATGGGCGAATTACTAGGGTTTAACGCAGTTGATGATTTGGTGGGTTCTCTTCTGTTAATGACAATTTCGCGTCTTGTCATATGATGATTAGACTTCACCTTTCTACTTTTGGTAACAGAATTAGGCTTTTGATGTGTCTATGTGTTTTGTCCCCTTGGTCCTTGCTTCTGTTTCTGCTTCCGGAAGCTTTGTTGCTTAATTTGGGTGCCTTCTTTTGTTAGTATCTTGTTAGGGTGCATGATTTTTGTTTTGATTCTTCTTCTGGTGTTGATGTATTTGAAACTTGTGCCTTTATGATGTTGAATTTCTCGTTTGTTTTTATGTTTTTACATGTATCTGCATTCTAATTTATCGAACCTTGTAGAAAATGTTACCATTTCCAAAACTTTTCCTCATAGGGAGTGAGACTCCTAGTTGTTCCTACACGAATTTCCAAACTAGAAGAAACTTCCTTGATGCCGGAAAAAGGCTAGGTGCTTCTTTCTGCTTTCAAAGGGCATTAGCGATTTGTTGTCTGATGGGCTCTCGTTCGGGGCTGTTGCAGCAAGGTGGTGAGGAAGTCGATTGCACAGGTTTTGACTGTGATCTCGCAGAAGCAGAAATCTGCATTGAGAGAGGCATACCAAAACAAGAAGTTTTTGCCACTCGATCTCCGTCCCAAGAAGACTAGAGCTATCAGAAGGAGACTCACCAAGCACCAGGTACTTTAACTACTTTTTTCGGTTTGCTCCTCTCCACACTTAATTTCGATCTTAGTTGATAAATTCCAAAACTTTCATCATGTGGACCCTTGAGCTAATAAATGGGATAAGGGAGCTTACCATGAGAAATGAATCTTGTTATTTGATTACCATTTGATCTCTGTGACTTGCATCTTCACTTTTCCGGGATAGGCATCGTTGAAGACGGAACGGGAGAAGAAGAAAGATATGTACTTTCCATTGAGAAAGTATGCCATCAAGGTGTAAGCCGTTGTCTTGCTCCATCTAGTGTTTCATTTTCTTCAATGCCGGTTAAAGACTAAAGAGTTCCAAACTCGAATCTTTTGCCATCATATATCTATTTGAATTAGAGATTTGATTTGCCCAAAAAAATCTCCAGTATGACCATTGTCATGATGGTTTTTCTTTGAGCTTTCCGTATTTTACGTCTACTAGCCCCAAAAGTTAAATACATAAATATTCTAATTTTTGGTGGTTAATTCTGAAGAGAACTGTCGAATTCGGAATGCAAGTGAATGAATCCTCCAATTGCTTGTGGAGTGAAACTCAAATAGTTGTTCTTTGGTCGGAAGAGGAGACTCTCGACCATATGCAAAGTAGCACGGGCTATATATATATGTATGTATGTATACACACACGTTTATGGTAAAAATATCCATATGCATTCGCATATTATTTATATATATAAAAAAGCACGTTCAAGTTTTAGAACTCTGACTTTGTGTCGTCCTTGTTGTCGTATCTGCCGTTGAGTTGACCGTACTAAGAATCTGTCTCGGGAACCGTTTTCACATAGTGTATGTATCGTCGAAGATGTGATTTATCGGTGCGAATATTATGTAATAGTAATGAATCCTTGGCCGTGATGGTGTTTAATACTTGTTTTATCCTCGTTTGGAGGTTTTTCTTATTTTAAATTTAATTGACCACTTGAGAATATTTAGCACTCTTGGGATATATGTGTAAAATTGAATTGGACTGTATTTGCTTTAATTGAATACCCGACGAGAACCAAGATCAAAATGAATATAAATATAATACCATGATATATGTATGTGTGTATATATGGTTTGAAATAGTCTGAGATATTTAAAAAATGGAGGGATAAGTGGTTATAAAAACGCGGATTAGCCTATAGGCGTTATTTGATTTCGGTGTCATTACAGGGAAACTTGCCTGGATGCATACTTAAGCTCTTGACTTTCGATAAGCAAATCCCCACTTTTATTATTAATTTTAAAAATACAAATGGCCACAAGATGCTACATATGTATATGCATATAAAAATATATTGATAGCGACCTGAATGCATACATACGTTATATATACTGAGAACAAAACTTTGACTAGTGACTATATATGTGCATATATATATATATATATATTGGTCGTGTTGGATTAAAAAATGTGAAAGATTGTGTGTCTTTGATCGTGTTGGTTCAACGATTGATTGATCATATATGTGCAAGAGTGGTATTTTCCATGGGGAGTTATATATATATTTTTTAGAGAAAAGCCTACAAATGAAAATTAGATTATTCAAGTGTAAATGATGATGTAATAATAAAAAAATACTAAGGTTTTATTTTGATTTTACTTTTTCTAATGAAATATGGAGAATAATATAACAGCCGTCTATAAATGTGGCGATATAGACTATACGATATGTGGAAATACATATATTCCAAAATTGTGTCACTCATCATTTATTAACAATATCAATTTGACTAATCAATCTCAAGCTTTGACTAAACGAAGGGAAAGTGAAATTTTTTACATTAATATTTTATGATAAAATGCAATTATGTGGGTACAATTCCTATGATCGTGGTTCACTAATAGAGTCTTTCAATTGTTATCAAAATGCTATGGCTGAAATTCCACAAAGACAAGAAAAAATTGTGGAAAAAATGTTTTTGGAAAATATTTAAATCAGCACAAAATGTGAAAATACTGTTAACGATTGATCTTGGAAATATGTAATGGTTGTATCTAAAATATATAACTTTTTAAAATGAAATTAATTAAATCTGAATTGGAATTGAAATAGAAGATGAAATCGAATCGAAATCTAAAATACGGTATATATTTTTTTAAATAACGAAAATTCAAACAAATATATTCCAAAATATATATTCTGTTTGATTAATATATGATTTTTGCAAGGGGAGAGCAACGAAAAACATATAGACTAAATAATTGGCTACACAAAAAATTTGACCTCCATGCCTTCACCAAGTACACACACACATATATATATATATATAATGTATATAAGGTTCAATATGCCAAGTGGGAGACTTTGAACGTTTCCTTGTTCAATATTTTATCTGACTTTGTAACCATATTCCTCATTTTTTTTTTTATATTTCATTCTCGTAATCGATTCGATTTTAGTGCACCTGTACCACAATTCCATCAATCGTCAACTATTATTATTATTATTATTATTATTATTATTATCATCTATGCATCTTATTCAATAACAATCACGATGTCATCATTTACTATAACTCCATAAGTTTTCTGTCTAACAGCGTTCAAGCACGAAAATCTCGAAGCCCTTTCGTCCGATAATTACTGACATTGACAATTATTGCGATTTTATTTTCTCGTTATTTAGTATTTTCTTTAATTGTTAATTCCGTAGCGAAGTTTGATTTTTTCAAAAAACCTATCCAATAAGAGAATAAACCCCAGCCACTCCCACATTCTATATTTGGATTGTTTATTATTGATTATTTTCGGATTTAATTTTTTATTTTGAAAATTAATTATTCAATTTTTATGTAACATTTGATATCGATGCATTTAAGTTAATTCGAATTTAGTGATGTCCAATAAATTTTTGGATGAAATGGTTGGAATATAAACTAAAAGATTAAAATTGTTTACCAACACACATTTCTATCAAATTTCAAGAGAAATATGTTGAAATAAAAAATTTTTATTTTGAAAATTAATTATTCAATTTTTATGTTTCATTTTTATTATTAATTTTCAAATAAAAATTAGTCAATCTTCAATAGAATATTCTCGAATGTCACAAGGGGGTGTGCAAAAATATTCAGATATACATTTGCAAGACTGCATCATGATTGGTCAAATCGGTGATTTTGGTGTTACAATTTTACAGGTAAAATCATATATCGTCATTTATTTCAAACTTTGAGGCAAATATCTTCTCTATATAATGAATGGCTCTTTCAGAGGAAATAGGAAAGAGTATAGCCCAAGTAACACCATTAACGTCTCCTTCTCCGTTACAGAGCTTCCAGAACTCATCCATGGCGAAATTCGCCAAGTCGGGTTTCTTCTCTTCGTCTTCTCCTAAATCCCCCCTTTCGTCTTCCTCGTTCCTCGGCACGGATTCGTCTGTGAGCCAGACGTTTTCTCAGTCGATGATGGAGGAAACCGTCGAATCCGCGGAACCAATCATCAGGAGATGGGACCCTGAATCTTCGACCTACACGAAGATCGTCTCTCTGTTCCAACACAGCCGGAGAGAGGCCAGGGATTTCATCCGATGCGTCAGGGACTTACGCAGAGCTATGCACTTCCTCGTCTCTCACCACTCTCACTCTTCCAAGCTCGTCCTCGCTCAGAACCTGATGCAGATCGCCATGGCGAGGCTCGAGAAGGAGTTTTACCAGATACTTTCCCTGAACCGAGACCAGCTTGACCCGGATTCCGTCTCGGGTCAATCCTCAAACGGGTCGAGCAATTCGGAAGTCGAGGATGATCTGGATGATATCTACGAGGAGGAAGATGATGAGCTGAAGAGAGCTGGTGAATCGATCACGAAGGTGGAGAAAGCCTCGGCAATGGCGATGACAGACCTGAAGGCGATAGCAGAGACGATGATAAGCTGTGGATATGGTAAAGAGTGCATTAGGGTTTACAAGCTCATCAGAAAATCTATTGTGGAAGAAGGGCTTTACATGCTCGGCATCGAGAAATACAAGATCTCGAATTTCCATAGAACAGATTCGGCAGCACTCGAGAACACGATCAATAACTGGATCAAGGCTGCAAAGATCGGAGTGACCACCCTCTTCCGAGGGGAGAAACTTCTCTGCGACCACGTCTTTTCTGCGTCGAAAACGATAAGGGAATCGTGCTTTTACGAGATCGCGAACGAAGCTGGAACCAACCTTTTCAGGTTCCCCGAGGTTGTGGCCAAGGGGAAGAGATCGCCTGATCGGATCTTTCGGCTGATGGATCTGCACATGGCCATGTCCGAGCTGTGGCAGGACATAGAGCTGATATTCCACTTCGATGCGGTCGCTTCTGTCAAGCTTCAGGCGTTGTCGTCAATGCAGAAACTTTCGGATTCTATCCGGTCCCTTCTCGTAGAATTCGAGTCAACCGTCCAGAAAGATTCGTCGAAATCTCTTGTGCCGGGTGGAGGGATCCACCAGCTGGCTCGCTCTACTATGAGCTTCGTATCTTCACTTGCTGAGTACGGCAGCGTCATGGCCGAGATTCTTGCAGAACATCCTCTACCGAGAAAAACCCGCTTGCTGGAATCTTATTTCGGGAGCCTAACCTCGGAAGACGAGCAGAATCGAGCGGTGTCAGTCCATCTAGCTTGGGTCATCCTTGTTCTTTTATGCAAGCTAGACACTAAGGCCGAGCTGTACAAGGATGTTTCACTGTCCTATCTCTTCCTAGCGAACAACCTTCAGTTCACAGTCGACACAGTTCGATCATCTCATCGGCTGAGGAGCCTACTCGGGCACGAATGGATCGTCAGACACGAAAACAAAGTCAGGACTTATGCTGCGAACTACGAGATAGCGGCATGGGCCAACGTGTTTCTGTCTTTACCAGAGAAAACCGCAACTCTGCCACCGGAAGAGGCGAGATCGCATTTCAGAAGGTTTCATGCCGCGTTCGAGGAGGCATATATGAGGCAATCGGCGTGGATCGTACCGGAGGGGAAGCTGAGGGACGAGCTGAAGGTCTCGATAGCGAAGAAACTGGTGCCGGAATACAGAGAGTTCTACGAAAAGCACCTGAATACGCTCAGTCAAGAGAGAAACCTGGAGATTCTCGTGAGGTTTAAGCCTGATAATCTGGAGAATTATCTCTCGGATCTGTTCCATGGCACTCCTATTGTCAATGGCGGCTCTTCTTCTTCTTCTTCCTCTTCTTCCTCGTCATGTTCTTCAATTGGATGTGTTTCATTGTAAGAAATCCGGCAGTAAAACTCTTATACTGCTTGTTTTGCCTAGTTGTGTTATATTGTGGTGCTTCGATTATTGTCGTCTGTAACTTTTCTGTACAACATGCAAACGAGAAAACAAAAAAGAATCTTCCACCTTCACACATCAAAGACGACAGATACAGAACAGTAAGAGATTATGGTTTCAGATCAAGAAACTTGCAGATATAGATCAAAACAACAAATGCATCTCGATATAATCGATCCGATATATCACCATTGAAATTATAAACCCAAATTTGAAATTATTAAACTTTCTTGGCCGTCGGACTCGGTGGCCTCGTTCTGGTCCGGAAACTCGTTCGTAACGGTCCTATCAGGGTTCGTACCTCACGTGATGCTCGGGTACACGATCATAGTCGCGATCTTATCGTATTTCGTGCTTTTCGCGGATTCTTCATCAACAGGGACAGGATCCATCCGTACTGGATATGGTTTCATTACATGTCTCTGGTGAAGTACCCGTACGAGGCTGTCCTGCAGAACGAGTTCTCGGGTCCGATGACGTGTTTTGTGAGAGGGGTCGAGGTATTCGAGAACACGCCGCTGGGGAAGTTGCCGGAGACGGTGAAGGAGACGTTGCTGGGGACAGTGGGTCGAGCCCTGGGGACGAGGATAACGAGTGACACGTGTCTCACGACGGGTGGTGATGTTCTGGAGATGCTGGGGATGTCGACGCAGATGAGCAAGTGGGATTGCTTGTTGGTCACGGTTGCTTGGGGGTTCTTCTTTAGGGTTTTGTTTTACTTCTGCTTGTTGCTTGGGAGCAAGAACAAGAGGAAATGAAAGAAAAGGATTGAAGAAGCCCGATTTAAGTTCATCTCCAGAAAAAGATAACGGCCCCTAAATACTTCTTTTTTTTTTTTGTAAATTGACAACAACTGATATGATTGTTTCAACGAAAAATAAGCGATGATTATTATGCCTGAAATTGTATTACGCGATTGGATGGATGATGCAATTCGCATAATACAATTTCTATTTTCTTTTTAATTTCACCAAAATTAATCTAAAACTTAGTTAGCAAAAAAAAAAAATTCATCTTCATGAAAACTACAAAAAATAAAACCAAACGACAACCCAGTTGTCGAATTCCCGAGAAAATGGGGGAAAACATCCAAACAGGCAACGTTTAAGGTTTCGTAAATCTGAATCTGAAACATGTTTATGAATCTGATAGAAAGAATATGATTCAATTCAATATTCACAAACGCGTAATAAAAGCCCAAATTCAAGAAAACGCTACAAAACACAAAACGAGCTTTTTTCTCCTCTTTCCAGAAACAAAACCCCCTTTTTTCTACAGACCTATATAAAAACACAAAGTTTCCAGGGCCGTGTACCTTTTCTTCCCCCGGATCCCTTTTTCATAGCCATTGTCTCCGTTTGGCGAATCTGATGTTATTCTTGGACGAGATTGGACTATGCTCGGCCACGGGCAATGTCGGTATATCTATGGTAACGTACGACTGAAAAAATCGTTGACAGCTAGATTACGATCTCCATGGGCCACCGCGTCCTCGGGTTCTGGCATGTAGAGACCAGATGATGAAGCCTGCGCTCAATGTAAAAACATGACAGGAAAAGCGATAAGATGGAAACTAAACCAATAAATCTCTAACGAGGCTAATATGGCGAAATGGGAAACATTTGAAACTAAAACAAAGATATGGAAAGGACGGGTTCTCGAGTTGTACAAGTGTACCTTTGCATCGAGGAGCATTTCTCCGTTATCGTCAGTAATGAGGGTTGCCCCATGGGCTTTTAGCCATTCCGAACACTCCTCCATCCCATCGGTCTCTTTTTCATCGCTGCCAGTAAAGCCCAAGACCTGAGCTAAGTATGAGACAGGTACCGTGGGACGACAGGCACGAGTCATACAGTTCACAGCCTTAAACCGCATCTTCTCCACGAAAAGGTCTGCAGAAAAAAAAAAGATTGGGAAAGACTCATCTCCTTTCAAATTGGTACTAGTATTACATATCTAGCTACTCAAGAGACAAAGAATCGATCAAATCAGAATAAATTCCACGTGTTTTACTTAGTACTTACCCATGAGGCAACTGTTCATGTTTGGTGCAGTCTTATAGAGCCTGAAGAACATAACATAATTTCCCAAAGTTACTGCTGCGCGGACTGATAGCGCATGTTTGACTGCTTCGTCCTTCTTTGCCTCATCCGACAATCTACAGAGAAAACGGATATATTGCTTCATCTTGTATATTCGAAAATTATAAATGAGCAAAGGAAGAGGCGTTTCTCAAAAGGGTCTATTGCTTGCTTTGTGAGACAAATCCACAGGGGATCCTTAATTAGGGGCACAACCACACATTCATCATATTTGTCACTATAATTTAAATCTCTGTAAATAAAAATGAAGCTACCAGAAGCCTTCAGAAGTACTATGTAAATATCTGAAGATTCAAAAGTTTCGGTTTCATCCTCCCAGTCAGTTGTATTCTTTTGGCTAGCATCTACTTCTTTAGAAAAATTGCTACCCAAAGTTTCAATGCTAAAACGTAACTTCACATAAGGTCAATCCAGAGACAAGTATATAATCTTCAAGAAATCACTTGCCTCGACATAGATGATAGCAGCTCACGGTTATGTTTAGAGTGCAGAGTAATATAAAGCAGGTCATAAGCAGCAAACTCCAGGCGGCATCCTTCAATACCTTCGGCATAGAGGATTTTCAGCTGGGCTAAGCACTGGAACGAAACAAAGGATCAATCCTAACGCTTCGAGTTCAGATTTTATTTTACACAATACGACATACCCTTTTTGGTATTGATAGATTTGGGTGCATTCTACAAGTTGCTGGTACTTTTTATGAAAAACAAATCTCGTTATTATGGATGACTAAAATAAAATAGGAACAATCTATGCCAGAGTATCAACCTGATTGTACTCAGGTAAGTCCCCAGCCTCCAAAGCCAATCTTGCATGCGTTTCATAAACCTGAAATAATTATAAAAAAGCGTGACCATCATAAATGAGTTCACCGATGAGAACTGTAACTTAAATAAAAGTGTTTGCCAGGGAAAGAATACTCCATGCAAGAACACTTGACATCTTTATGAATGTCCAATAACATACCTTAACAGTTAATCGATTGCATATCCGTTGCACAGTTAGATCTTGGCGAATAGATTTCAACTGGTCGCATTTATAAAGATAGTTCTTTTGAGAGCCCTGGACCATCAACAAAGATTTTTCTAGCACATCTTCCGGCCTTACCTGCAAAGCAACATAGTTTCACACAAGCCAATTAAAAATGTTGACCTGGGTATTAAACAGGTTTTTACATATATAATATTGATATTTACAGTGGAAGGATCCGGTGCGGATGTAAGACGGAGATAACGTTTCTCGATTTCCTGGCAGCTTCCTTTAACAGTTAGCGCATCCCAGTCAATGTCTTCCACGGCTTTGCTGCCACTGTCATCATTACTTCTGCTTAGCACTAATGCAGTAGCTCTTCTAGAATAAAGGTTCCCGACACTAGCATTCTTCGGTTTGAGATTGTTACTCTCCCTGCTGTGCCCTTGACTTTTCTCAAAACGTTTGGAGCGGCTTTCACGGCGTTTGTTTTCCTCTGCCGAACTAGCTAGTGTCATTGCACTAGAATAGTAAGGAGTCAAACTGTGCTCCGTGTCACTGTCACTTGACGCATCATTACCAACAGCAGTATTTGCACCATCAACTAAACGCTGGCGCTTGACAGGCCACTGAAAATTCTTTTTGGCAGATTTTTGGACGGAGTAAGTGGATTTAAAGTCAGTGAAACCACCCACCTTTTGAGAACTTTCCAAACCCTGCAAAATTTCTCACCAGATCAAGGAATCAATGCAAAGAATATTTTTTCTAATCGGTAAAATAAAAAGTCAACCATTAACTAAGTGCTTTACTTTTGTTGTCTCCCAATATAGTAATGCTACCGACAGCCCTACTCAATCATAAGGAACAGGAAAGTGGAATGGATTTATTTAACCTTTCTGTCCTCACTTTGGTGACTCCAACCTCCAAACTTGTAATCACTGCTGTAAGTTGTAGACAATTTGGAACTGGCAACTGTTTTTTCTTCTGATAACGGCTCCCATCTACTTTTGGATCGCCTTGTAGGACTCTTCTGTGCTACTGAAGAAGCAGGGGTTGAACTTTGCAGCCTGTAGGGCCAAGTAAAAACTCAGTAGCAATATATAAGAAAGTAAATATTCCAACAAGCAAAAATTGAAAAAAGAAAGTCATGCATAGATGCTCGATGAGGAGGAAAAAAGACAATACTGGTTGTTGGTCATATCCGCGTTAAGTACAGATGAAAGAGGCTTGGTATCCCAGTCTCTAATATAAAGGGTACCATCAGCTGTTGCTTGGGTGATAATCTAGAAAATAAAAAATAAGCATCAAAATGATAATCAATAAAATATTAGCTCGGATTCCCTTAGTAAATGAAGAGGTAATTTATTGTTATTATCCCAGAAAACGCATGAGGACATCTCATGCTACAATAGCATATCTCCAAGCCCTGTATAACATGGTACCTCCTTCAAGGCAACCTGACAAGATGCCTTTTCTTTATCATCTTTGCAGCGGGCAAAAGCCCTCTCAACGAACCCACGAAGTGACTTTGGGAATGTGCCAGGCTACAAACAGCGGGACAAAATAATTTGCTTAAACAAGTTGATTACAAAAAGATTGTAAATCATTACATGCAGCAATATCGAAACCCCATAATCAGAATTATCCCTATGAAATAAATACTAGATTGTGTAAGCTCCACCGAGACCGTGAATACTGCTGAGATCTAGGAGCAGTAACCAGAAAGACATTCTAAGAATTTTACCAAGCAGCTTTATGAAGTAGACATTGCATCTCAAATCGATTTGACAAATAAGAGAGAAATTAGAATGGAAAAAGAAACTAAATAAAGAGGATTATCCAGACCTCTTTTGATAGAAGTTGTTTCACAAAAAATGCCTAGAAATTTGGCCCCCGTGGAAAATCAGGAGTTCGATTACTTTTTCATTTAGTATGGCAAGCGGACAATGTTTCACAACAAAGACGCCTCAAGGTGTTACCTTGGAACCCAACAGTTCATCTCTGACATCACTCATAAAAAAAATCAAGAATCTAAATCAGAAACTTACCTCAGGCAAAGCAGTGGTATGGTCTTTAGGCTTTGGCATTGAGACAGTAACATATGCAGGCTTTTTGGCTGCACCGACTGCTGAGCTATCTTTATCGGTTTTGGTAAAACCTAATGGCAAATTTGAAGCAATTCTAGGATTGGTCGGGATCTGTAGGTTGCTTACTCTTCGGGTATCTAGTGATGATGCAGGCAGGATAGGCTGGTGGTAATCTGGATGTGCAGGTGCCTGACAAATGGAAGACTGGGAGTTCAATCCTTGAGGATATGCACCTCTCTGATGATCTTGAAAAGAGGTTTCATTAGAAGGTTTCACCTCCAAGGGACTTTGATAATGGTTTTGTGTTGGAGCAGGATGTTGAGCTTGCTGGCTCGGCACTTTATGCATCCAATAAGCATCATTAGAGACACTAACTGCTGCACCAGGCTGGGAGAAAACGATGAAAATGATAATTTGTCAACTAATTCATTTTAACACTAATTTCCTTGTCCTCTAGGTCATCATAAATCTCCAGTCTGAGCATTTCGGTCCACAAGAAATAAGCATGGAAAAGAATATAACCTAATCTAATTTTAAGAAACACAACTTTGTTCTTCCCTCATCTCATGAAAGAAACTCAAACCTGCTGAGGAATTTGGGATGAATTTGTTTCCGGTCTCCAGGATTGTACAAAAGACAGAGCAGGCTGGCCACTAGAAGGAGGCATTTGACTAGTAATACCAGGAACAGGAAAACTCTGACTGGATGCACCAGAGACAGACAACTTTTCCGTCCCAGGGGCGCAAGGAACTTCTGTTTGACTGTAATAGTCAGACCATTGTTTGTAATTTTGTTGGTAATGCACAGATGTTGTTGATGCAACACTGGAAGTATAAGCACCACTAGTGTCAGGAGTATAGTTTTGATAAGTGTTTGATGTGTAACCAGCATAGTTTCCCTGGTTCCATGCTGCAGTCTGGTTTCCATAACTTGTACTTGGATAACCTCCGGAAGTTTGATTGCTATAACTTGTACTTGGATAACCTTCAGCAGTCTGATAATCAGCAGGATTGTAGTAAGTTCCTGAATAACTTGCAGTCCCAGCATAAGACCCTGTATTCTGAAATGAGGAAAGAGGCTGATAAGGAGCACCTGTGTTTTGATATGCCCCTACAGGCTGAGTATATGAATGGTTAGGTTGTTGCTGATAGCCACTGTAGTAATTTGCGTAACCCGTGCTAGCATAATTGGATGGGTCAGTAGAACTCGGGTATGATGTGTATCCACTATAATCTTGAGCTACATTTGCAGTGAACAAAGTAGATGAACCAGAGACAGGCACAGCATTTGATGCTTCCTGGACATTTCTCGTGGCTGGCTCCACAGGCTGTGGACAGTAATAGTTCGAACTTGAATAATTCTCATTCTCCACAGCCTGATTTTCCACTCTATTCATTGTCCATGAAGAAGTATCAGACCCAGTCAAGTATTGATATGAAGACATCTGCACTTGGCTTCCATCAACACCATATCGATTCTGAAACAATGAATAGTGTTAGCAATGAAACGCCTGATTGCTTATCCACAATATGATACTGAAAAGCTTCATTTAGCCGCATAAAAAGCAAGTGATAAGAGATACAAACAGACAGCAAATAATAAAAGTTCTCAGATCTAGAAGATTTGTAGGACAAGAAGAAGAAATATTGACGCCATCAACAACTACATCTTCAGATGCTACCTCAAGCCTATGTGGAAGCAACTCAAACATCATAACCGTAGAGATCTGAATAGTGTATACTGAGCAAAAAACAGTCAAGCGTTCTCAGTGAAACAAAAATTTTAATAGAATTTGTTGATAGAGAATGCATCTCTGCAACTTGGTCCTGTTTCATACCGGTAGAAAACTTGAAAAAGCCATCACATTCCATGCTAAAACAAGATACCCAACATCTTTTTATTCTGTTACCTCCCTAACAACAAAAATTAAATGCTTTTTTGATACATTATGAGAGTTCTCAGACAAAGCATCAAGACAAACTCACTCTATTCCACGGTCTAAATGCATCAGTGAACAATTCGTCAAAATATTACAACTGTGAAGGGATAAAGACAACTTTGGTCAAGAGTAAATCACATTAAGACATTGATAAACCCAAGCATACTCCCAAAAAAAAATGGCAATTGACCCCAATCCCACAAATCCTGAAAGCACTTAGATCACACTGAAACCCATAAATCCAGTTAATAAAACAATCCGAAGCAAACATTAGTTCTAGTTTGAATCCTTTTAGCTACTAATTGCACTAATCATCTCTTCCTTAATCGCATACAAAAATCATCTTGGATGTAACAACATCAAAACAAGGTCAATAACAAACGTCTTGATAGCAACGAAAACAAAGGGAAAAAACCCAAAAAACGATTTACCTGAATCGCATTTGGGTCCAGTGTAGCTACGGCCTCAGTGTTCCCTCCTTGATTCATTCTACCATCAACCTCCTGCGCAAGCATTCAAGAGAATCAAGCACAAAATTAAAGCTTCACCGCACCAATATCAATCCCTAGAAAAAAAAAAACCCTAATCTGAAAACAACGAGATGCAGCTCGAATATGTACCTGCAACGCTCAAATATATCTCCGGTGGGTTCGGGCAGCCAAATGAAGAATCAGACGTAAAAAGTGCAACAGAACAGAATTTCAGATCGGATTAAACAAAACAAAGGGGAAAAACGAATGGGAAGGGGAAAAAAAGGAAAGGGTAGAAAACAATAATCAACAATACAACACGGAGATGTATGAAAAGCTATTGAAATGAAAGAGAACAGAGAGAAATCGAGGAAACTGGGCAAAGGGAAAACAATCAGTGCGAGTGCCGGAGAGGAAGATCGTGAATTCCTTACGACGGGATGTTGGCGTAATTGGGTCAGATTGAAATCGCGAGATTTTTCAACTCTCTTCTCGTTTCCCTGATTTTATACGCCAACGAGGAAAAAAAACACGCGTGGGAGAGAGACCTTGTCCTACGTGGACACTGATCCCGGTTCGGTAAAAATTGAGTTTGAATCAAACCGGTCAACGATGACAGGTTAGAACATCAAAGCATTACAAGTAAACCGACGACGACCCGGTCGATGAGTCTAGACCGGCTAAATCCTGGAATTGGTTAGCATTATCCTTGCAATAGTATTCATCAAATTTGTCTCAAACATCAAATATAATTCACATTTAATTATTTATAGTAAGCCAAGTTACCGTACATTTCACTAGTAAAGCTCGAAAAATAAATTTTCATGTGAAAAATCTGATAAAGGAAAAGCAATGACCCTTTTGCCCGTAAATTGGGTATCTGACAAGATCAACGAGTTGAAGATTCGACAACGGTGAAAATCCGATCTTTGGTACTGTCGAGAAGCATTATCACCACATACCTTTGACTTTTTCAACCGCGATTTATTATCAGCATACCAAGCCAAGGCAGGAGCTACGTCCTTATTTTCAAGGGCATCAATCACCTTTTTAGCTTCTCGAAAAATATCAATATCAACTAGGTCCTGAATAGATGAGATGGCAATCAGATCAAGGATATCTCATCTTTTTGCAGATTCATTATAAATCTTTGAACTTAAGAAATTCAAGGCAAACTGCAGAATTGGGCGGCAATTCTTCACTGTTGATAAAAAAAGGGTAGCTAGCCTAAAGGGCTCAACAGAGAAAAATGTCGTTAAGAGAAACTCCAGATCGTGTTACAATTTACCAAGCCAAAGAAAAAAGCGATAAAAGGGAGAGAATTGCCTGTATCTTGCTACTTTCTGCGAGCTCTGTTGCAGTGTAGAAATATGACATGTGCAACATGTAGTCAACCAGAATCCGTTTCAATCTTGTGTTGTTCCATTCGGATTTTCCCTACTCCTTTTCAAGGATACAGAAAGAAAAAAGGAGCAGGATCTTTCGGCAAATACCACAACTCAACAGTAAAGCATACAACTAAAGCAGTAAAGGAGATACAAATACCAAAGGCGTATATAAATCATGAGCTTATATACATAATTAGTTTATCAAAAAGTTGTAGGTAATAACATTTGTTGCAACTCCTCCATCACCGAGCTTATTAAAAAGATCAACTACATCATTTGTCTTTGCAAAGGCGGAAACCATTGATGATACAGTTGATCTTTTCAACAAGGTGGATGATCGAGGAGTTGCACCAAATGTTATTACCTACAGCTGTTTGATAAACTATCTATGTATCCAAGCTCGTGATTTATATATGCCTTCGATGGGTCCAACAAGGTCAGGTCCCTCCGAATCCAAGCTCATGATATAAATGCCTTAGCTATGTCTAAGTAATTGCAGACGAACCCTGTCCTAGGACATGTTATTTTACCTCCGCTCTTCTTCGCCATTTCCTCGAGTGCCTGCATGCACATTCATTATTATTACCCATCAATGCAAACCAATATAACACCACAATCTAAAACAAGACACCTTCGAGTCGGAGACTGATGTGAATGATTCGATAGAATGAGCACGGATGGAAGATTTTAGCCCAACAACACAGCTAAACCTACCTTGGAGCTGTAGACGTAACCATTGGGCAACACATGTGGCTGATTCTCCGTGTCCATTAGCTCTTTAGTAATATAGCAAACAAGCTTTGAATGGTGCTGCTTTGAGTATGGTAAAGGCAAAGCTAGCTTCTGGAAGCTCTCTTGTGAAAGAGGGTCCTCCTTTGCGCAATCTTCTCCGTAGCAATATCTAAACCATGTCAAGGTACAACCTGAAACCAAGTGGACTTTAACAAGAATTAGTAAAATGAAGCTGACCATCAGCTAACGGTAACGACAGAAAAGGAAAGAAGAAAAAAACAACACCAATGTTAAGCCGGTCCGTCTAGTTTAACACCCATAATGAACACACAAATAATCAAAACTGAATATTCTGTACGTGTATGCTACTAATAACTGGAAATCAAGTAAGCCAAGCCAAATAACAAAAAGTAAATTGAAAATAAATGTCGTGTCAATCTAGTTTATAGAGGATACGGAGTTTTCAGAGCAGACAGGCCTGCTTGCAAGTAGATGTTTAATAGCGGCTCCAGTGTCATCCCATGTAACTTGCAAAATTCTTGTTTAAACTGATGGACAAGAAAGTCCCACTGCTTTGATTCAAACAAAGCCTAAGAAACGAAAACAAAAATTGTCAGTTTATTGGCGTAAAGAGATGCTTTCAATAGTCAACACGAGCAATTCAGATTGCACGAGAGTAGAAGGGCAAGTATCACAACAATTGTGCAATCTAGTGAAATTTATAACGCATGACTATAGGTGCAATCTAGTCAATTGCATTGCCTCGTAAGTACGAAAAGAAACACAACATATTCACCTAGTTCTTTGTCCTTCTTAACCAAAATTAACCATTCACTAAATCGAAAGGAAAACTAACTATTCCAAGCGCCAATCCATGACCGGAGAGATAAACCTTGGCTTTAGAAACACGATGAAGTAGGGCTGTATCATCAACCGAAGAAAAACTTGCCTTATATTTTGTGCACTCTGTACTACATCTAAAAGCCAAAGAGGCCACGACATGTTGCAATTCTTTCATATGGGTTGTTCCCCATGGTGCCAAGTACTTTCGTGCATACTTTATTGCATGTTTATAGCTGTCAGCTGTATCAGCTCGTACCAGCTCTATGAATTCTTGCAACCTTAGCTGAAACTCGAATGTGCACTGTCAGAAGAAGAACTCAATTTCATTAGCAGTGACCACATGCCCTCTGTACAACTAAGAACTAGTTCCAGTTTGTTTCGTTTCATAACATCAAGATCTGAAAGGAAAAGGACAATATGAAAAATTCAATGCACGTGCTTGTAAATCAGATAATATGGCCTTAGTTGAACCGGAGCGTCAATTGCCTCCAGCAATCACGAGGTTATCATAAGATTACTTGCATTAGGTGACACAAGAAAACAGGAGGAATTAAAAAAAGAATGAAATAAGAAAAGTTTAGCCATGAGTGAATGTAAAGCATTATCACCACATACCTTTGACTTTTTCAACCGCGATTTATTATCAGCATACCAAGCCAAGGCAGGAGCTACGTCCTTATTTTCAAGGGCATCAATCACCTTTTTAGCTTCTCGAAAAATATCAATATCAACTAGGTCCTGAATAGATGAGATGGCAATCAGATCAAGGATATCTCATCTTTTTGCAGATTCATTATAAATCTTTGAACTTAAGAAATTCAAGGCAAACTGCAGAATTGGGCGGCAATTCTTCACTGTTGATAAAAAAAGGGTAGCTAGCCTAAAGGGCTCAACAGAGAAAAATGTCGTTAAGAGAAACTCCAGATCGTGTTACAATTTACCAAGCCAAAGAAAAAAGCGATAAAAGGGAGAGAATTGCCTGTATCTTGCTACTTTCTGCGAGCTCTGTTGCAGTGTAGAAATATGACATGTGCAACATGTAGTCAACCAGAATCCGTTTCAATCTTGTGTTGTTCCATTCGGATAAATTCTCTGCCTCCGCAGAATCCAAATGATCAATACGAGCTCGGTATCTCTGTCACCCTGCCCTAGATGAGGGAAAGATGTAACCCACTGTTGTCATAATACTGAAAAGGAATAACAAAACGTGAGAAGAACACATGAATTGTTCAAATTGCGAAACTCAAACGAGTCAAATCCTCTTTTCTTGGACTCCATGATTAAGAATCATAGAGTTAGATAGTCATCCCCATCACCAACTGAGTTTTCACTTCATTTAGTCTGATTTATATTTGAATGAATTGCATTTCTCCTTCATACAAAATTGAAAAATTATCCAATCAAATCCAGCAACCAGAAAGATATAAATTGTAGTTGACCATCTAACAAAATCAGATCCTTTCCTTGACTTAATTACACACTTTGTCTAGGCATCTACCAATCACATCATCGAAACACATCCCACGCATCTTCTTTGCCATGGAAGAGAAAAATCACCTTTCTTTTGAGGCCTTGCAATCGCGAGGAAAGCCTCGTAAGCTGCAGAAAAGTATCATCCTTGAACCAATCCGAATCAGACAAATCGCTGACGCCGGATACGACGGAGGAGACCTCCTTCTCGAAGGCCCGGCGGTTGGATCGGATCGTCTTCTTGTAATGCTCGAAAGGTACGCGGAGGAGCTGGTGCTCCAGCTTCAGCGATTCCGTCAGTTGACTCAACCACGAAGACGGCAACACCGCCGTCGCCGGCGGAGAGATTGCGGCGGAGGTTGCGTCTCCATTCGGAACTGGATCGATTTCCATCATGGATAATTTGATAGAATCGAAGCAGTTAGAGACGGGGAAAACACTCGAGCGGCGGCGAGAGATTATATAACACTAATGGCTAGTTAGGGTGGGCTTGGTCAATTAACCTAATATCCACGTGGAATAACCGTAATCCAATTAAATTTGCTATAATTTTAAATAAATAAAAAAACGAATCTTAAAAAAATCTAAAAAATCGATTTTTTTTAAAGAAAATAAATATTTTTATCAAGTATCTGAACTTTTATACTTGATCACTCACGCCCACCCCATAAATGAGTCACAACCTCGTCTAGTCAATGGTTCTGCTCTTTCTTCCAAGCCGGTACTGTTATCGGCTAATTTGCCTTGACCCCTGTAAGAAAATTAGCCGATAACTGTACCGAGGCCAGACGAAGAACTTAGAGCTATGGAAAATGAAACAATACAATTCAATGCACCGAAATAAGGAACCCATTTTAAAGATCCGATTCAAATGATGAAGACAACGTGTAAAGAGCTCAAGAATTCGATAAAAGCTTCATTTTCTCCACGTAATTGAACAAAGACCAAATCGGCGCCCAGTGTTGAATTCATGCAAACATCTTCGAATCCATCGCCATTGGATCCGATGGTCAAATCCTATTATTCACCGAATAGGTAGTGCATGAGCACGA